TACAATTTAAATCACTTTCTCTTTTTGATTCCCTAGGTAGACTAACACTATCTCCAGAGATAATTTTATCTCTTGTATTTTAGAAAAGTCTGCTTCAATCCAAAGAGCCCTGGAAGAACTAGTTGAAGACACCCTTTGGACAAGTCCAAGGTATAAGGTAGAGAGCTAGTCAGTGGATAGAGTGCTGAGCCTGGAATCAGGAAGACCTGAGTTCAAATTTGGCCTCAGACCCTTACTAACTTATGACCCTGGGCAAATCACTTAACCTCTGACTGCCTCAGTTGCCTCAACTGTCAAATGGGATAATAATAGTTTACATCTTGCAGGGTTGTTGGGAGGATCCAAGGAGAAAGTATTTATAAAACACTTAGTGCAATGCTTGACCCATATCACCCCTTCCCTAAAATAACCCTTCATGTTGTTGGAAGATAATGATTGAGATAAGCTCAGTCTTCTTTTCTCTGGACTAAATAGGAATGACGTGAAATTATTTGCTCTTTCCTCATATAGCCTACTTAATTCTTTAATGATTTTCTTTTGTTTTATAGATTGTTCCCGGTTTTCTTACAGTATTCTTAAAACAGAGTGCCCCTAATTAGTCAAAAGATTCTAATAAGGACCTAGCTAGTATTCCATCAATCAATCAACAGACATTTATTAAAGGTCTACTATGTTCCAGGCACTGTGCTGTGCATTGGAGGTAACAGTTCATGCTCTCAAAGAGTTTACAGTCTATGGTGGGGAGACATGATAGACATAAAAATGTACATACTTAAATATGAAACTGGGCCTGATTTCATTGGCATAGGGAACTCTCATGTGAGGAAAACATCCCCTACCAATGCAAATTGGCACCTTCTCTTAGAGTCAAAATAATTTATATACAAAATAAGTGCAAGGTAATTTGGGTGAAAGTCACTAACAGGTGGGGAAATCAGGAAAGGCTGCATGCAAAAGATGAATTTTTTTAAAAAGTGTCTTATTTTTTCTAGTTACATGTAAAAACAATTTTTAACACTAATTTTTAAATAAAATTTTGAATTCCAATTTTTTTCCCTCTCTCCTTTCCCTTCCTTCTCCCTAAGAAGTTGAGCAATTTAATATAGGTTATATATGTGCAATCATCCTTGACTTGGATCTTAAAGGAAACTGGGGAATTCTAAGAGGCAGAGGTGAGAGAGAGTGCATTCTAAGCATTCCAGGCAACCATGCACATAGGCCTAGGGTCGGGAAATAGATTGCTGTATATGAGGAATAATAAGGCCAGTTGGGTTGGACATAGAATGTGCAAAGAGGAAAACTGTATAATAAGTTTGGAAATATAAACTGAGACCAAGTTGTGATGAGCTTTAAACACCACTATTGCACTGCTCCTCCCCGTTAATCATTCCATGCCCCTCTCCCAAATGAAAACCATCCCTACAACAAATGAATGTAGTCAAGCAAAATGAATCCGTGCATTTGCTTTCTCTGAAAATGTGTGTCTCATTCTGCAGCTATCATTCTTCACCTCTCTGCCAACAGGTGGAACCATGATGGGCCATCAGTCTTCTCTAATCCCGAAAGGTCATTGGATTGATCAGAGTTTTCAAGTCTTTTACAGTTGTTTTCCTTTACAATACTGTTGTCATTATATAAATTGTCCTCTTGGTTCTGCTCATTGCACTCTGCATTAGTTCAAAGAAATCCTCTCAGATTTCTTTGAGTATGTGGCTTTCATAATTTCTTACAACCCAGTAATATTCCATTTTATTCATGTATGCTAATTGATTGTTTAGCCATTTCCTGATTACTGGGCACCCCTTTATTTCTAGATCTTTGCTGTAACCAAAAATGCTTGTGTGTGTGTGTGTGTGTGTGTGTGTGTGTGTGTGTGTGTGTGTGTGTATTTTGTACACGTTGGTCTTTTCCCTCCAACTCTGACCTATCTAGGTAGTAGTGGCATTGCTGGGTCACAGGGTATGCACAGTTTATTGACTTTTGTGGCATGGCTCCAAATGACTTTCCAGAATGGCTGGATTATTGGTGCACAACTTTTAAAGATACTCAAATCTTATGCCTCACTGTGGTTCAGAGTTGAATCTGGGTTCCTGAAAGATGGTCCTAAAGAGCACCAGCTCTAGCAGACAATATTGCACCGGAAGGACATTGGCTCCAAGTCTAGTTATTGACTGCTCCCTACCCCAAGTTCAGAGAGGCTTATCATGGGATAGTATGGATTAGGATGGATGGGGAGAGTGGTGGCACTCCTTTATAAAGGAGAAGGGGCAGGTAAGCAGCAGTTCAAGGAAGCAGATGTGTGAGGTCTTCCAGAAGAAAGCACAGAAGAAGGATGTGCCATTTCTTCTGGAGCAGGAGTTCTTAACCTGTGGCCCATGCACTTTTATTTTTTTAAGCCAACAACATTTATTAAGTACCTACTATATGCCAGGTATTGTGCTAAGCACTGGAGATACAAAGAAAGGCAAAACAAAACAAAACAAAATTCAGTCATTAGTTTCAAGAAGCTCCCAGTCTAAAGAAAGAGACAAAATCCAAACAACTATGTAAAACAAGATATATAGATGTAGTTATCTATATATATACACACACATACATATAGATATACATATATACATACACATATACATACATATATGTGTGTATATGTATATGTATGTGTGTATATATGTGTGTATATATGTATATATGTATATATGTGTATTACATATATATACATATATACATATACACACATATATGATAAATTGGGAATAATCTTAGAGGAAAGACACTAAGATTAAGGAGGATTGGAAAAGGCTTTTTATAGAAGGTGGGACTTTAGCTAAGAGTTAAAGATGAGCAGGAAGGAGATAGAGGTGAGAAGGAAGAGAGCTCCAGGTAAGGGGACAGCCAATAAAAATGCTTGGCAGCTGGTTGGATATTGGAGGGAAGAGGTGGAGAGTAAAGAGATGGTAGCAACACAGGTTTTGAGCTTGGATGACTGGGAAGTTGGTTGCACCCTCAATAGCATGTAGGAAGGTAGCAAGAGTTGGGGGTGAGGTTCTTGGGGAAGATAACGAGTTCAGTTTTGGACTTGGTAGTTTAAGATGTCTATGGGACATCTAGTTGGAGATGTCCAACAGGCAGGTGGAGATGCAAGACTGGAGTTCAACAGGGAGGTTACAGTGGTATAAATGGAGCTGAGAATCATCTGCATAGCTATGAGAATTGAATCTATGAAAGCTGATGAGACCACCTCGTAAAATAGCATCTAGCAAGAAGTGAAGAGAGTTCATGAGGTTTAGTGGGCATGACTTAGATGAAGAGCTTGCAAAAGGGATTGAGAGGGAGGGGGTTGAACAGGTAGGAGGAGTGTCACGAAAACCCAAAGAGAAGAGAGTGTCAAAGGGAAGAATATGATCAACAGTGTTGAAAGCTGCTGAGAGGTCAAGAGGAATAAGTATTTTGAGAAAGGGCCATTAGATTTGGCAATTAAGAGATCACTGGTAATGTTGGAGAGAGCAGCTTCAGTTGATTGATGAGGCTGGAAGAAAGACAAATTCCAGATGGTTAAGAAGAAAGTGAGATGAAAGGAAGTGCAGACACCAATTGTAGGTGGCCTTCACAAGGAGTTTATCCAGGAAAGAGAAGCAGAGATATAGGATGATAGCTATAGGGAACAGACAGATAAAGAGAGAGTTTTTGGAGGATGGGAAAAATATGAACCTGTTTGTAGACAGTAGGAAAACTGTAGCCAGGGAGAGATTTAAGATTAGTGAGAGAATGGGAATGATAGAAGAAGCCATGTACTACAGAAGACAGTTTGGAAAGAGATTATGCGTGCTTATAGAGGGTTTGCCTTGGCAAGGAGAAGGGCCATCTGTCCACTTGAGACATGAGGAGTAAAGGAGGAAATAGTGGCAGAAGGTATATGAGTGATGTGAGATGAAGACAAAGGAATAATAGGGAAATCCCTGTGAATTGGCTCAATTTTGTGAGTGGAAATATAAGGCAAAGTTCTCAGCTGAGAGAGTGGACGGAGGGAACCATGGGAAATTTGAGGAAGGAAGAAAAGGCTTAGAAAAGTTGTGGAGAGTGGGATAGTGAGGAATAAAAGGAAGACCCACTTTTAATATTTTAATAATTATTTTATTTTTTGATTAGGCATTGGGGTTAAGTGACTTGCCCAGGGTCACACAGCTAGTAAGTGTAATGTGTCTGAGACCGAATTTGAACTCAGGTCCTCCTGAATCCAGGGCTGGTGCTCTATCCACCGCACCACTTAGCTGCCCCTAATAATTATTTTAATATGTCTAGTTTCTTTTGCAATCTTATGTGGTTTATTTTATGTGTTTAAAAACATTATGTTGAGAAGATGTCTATAAGACTGCCAAAAGGGGCCACATACAAAAAAGGTTAGGAATCTCTGCCCTGGAGACTCTCAGAATCAGTTAAGATGGTCAGGAGGAGTATTTCTTTTTCTTTTCTTTTCTTTTCTTTTCTTTTCTTTTCTTTTCTTTTCTTTTCTTTTCTTTTCTTCTTTTCTTTTCTTTTCTTTTCTTTTCTTTTCTTTTCTTTTCTTTTCTTTTCTCTTCTTTTCTCTTTCTTCTCTTCTTTTCTTTTCTCTTCTCTTCTCTCCTCTTCTCTCCTCTTCTCTCCTCTCCTCTCCTCTCCTCTCCTCTCCTCTCTTCCTCTCTCTCCTCTCCTCTCCTCTCCTCTCTTCTCTCTCTCCTCTCCTCTCCTCTCCTCTCCTCTCCTCTCTCTCCTCTCCTCTCCTCTCCTCTCCTTCCTCTCCTCTCCTCTCCTCTCCTCTCCTCTCCTCTCTCCTCTCCTCTCCTCTCCTCTCCTCTCCTCTCCTCTCCTCTCCTCTCCTCTCCTCTCCTCTCCTTTCCTCTCCTCTCCTCTCCTTTCCTTTTTAAATTAATTTATTTTTAATTTTCAACATTCACTTCCAAAAGATTTTGAGTTCCAAATTTTCTACTCCTCTCTCCTCACCCACAACCCCAAGATAGGGCGGTGCCATCTGATATAGGGCTCTACTTGTGGGAGGGCCGTTTTGACTCTGTAGTCCCCTTCCTCCTACTCAACAAGCTTCACTATAGTGGGTAGTGAGTGAGAGGTAGAGATACTATTATATGGTCAATCCTATGATTGCCCCTATTAACTGCATAGCCTGTCCTTACAACTGAAACTTTTTAGTTGCATGAGTCCTTTGTTAAAATGATGATGATGATGATGATGATGATGATGATGATGATGATGATATGCCTCAGAGAGTCCACTTCTCAAACCACTAGCAAAGATAAACTGAGAGTCAAATGAAAGTATGGAAGGCAATGCTACTGTTTGTAACTTAAGCAATCTTTACAACATAGTCTGAACTGGCAATTCTGGTTCTAGGGTAAACTCAGCTGGGGAATCCAATGGGATGGGAAGGGACAGAGAGCCTTTCATCTTCCTCCCTCGCCTTCTAAAACACCATGGGTTGGTGAGCAACCTGGTTATCATTGTGATTGATGCTGGTCAGTGGTGTGATGGTAAATATTTAACAACCAGCTATCTGGTGGAAAAAATGTACGCAGGAAACACTTTTTGTGTATGGAGGCAATTAGGGTTAAGTGACTTGCCCAGTGTCACACAGCTAGTAAGTGTCTGAGGTCACATTTGAACTCAGGCCCTCCTAACGCCAGGTCCAGTGCTCTATCCACTGCATTACCTAGCTGCCCTGAAACACTTTAATTCACATTATTCACATTTTCTCCATCACTTTCTTAAGTCTAAAGACAGAAAAATAAACCAAGCCTGTTTTTTTTTCAGCTGTTCACCTATTTCAGAGGTCTAAATGCTCACACTGAAAATTTAACAATCTGCTTTCACTCTAGCCAGTTTGAGCTAGTGCCAGCATACTGCTGGCAGATGTCCAATGAAGCTAGGCATTGATGCTCTGGTGTGGCCCTGAGGGAAGGCCTGCCAGAAAGAAGGGCCTGGATGTACTTTTTCCTCTGAGAGTGCTCACAGTCATTGTCATCTTCCCCATCTGTCTCCCATTTCTCTTCTACCTACCCATCCCATGGGAGTTCTCTGGGCGAAAGCCTCAGGAACACATATTTGTTAGAGTTCCATTAATAGTTTATACTTAGAAAACCAAAAAAAAGATACTAGAAAGGGCCCCAATCTGCTAGTCAAGCATTCTGGGCTGTATTCCTTCCTTTGTTACTAACTTGGGCAGGTCCCTTAAGGTTTCTGGACCTTGCTTTCCTCACCTGTAGGATGAAAGGGGTGAACCTAATAGTCAGGGCTGAGTCCATGATTTTCTGATTATCTTTCCTTTGCTCAGGCAGATTACCAATATATATTAAGGGACCTACAGGACCTGAACTCTTTGAGAAACAATTACCCTTTAAAATTAAATTTTAATTAAAATTAAAATTAAAAAACAATTTTCCTTTAAAAATTATCTATATATAAATTTAAATTATAGTTATATTATTAATTATATTTTATTGTAGAATTGATATAATATACAATATATTATAAAACACATAATTATATATGTGTATGCATGTATTTAAATGTATATGTATATGTATTATTTATGTTATATTATTATAGATTAGATATACTATATGTAATATAGGTAGTAAGAAACCAAATCTGTTTAGTGATGAAGAGAGATATGTATGTGTATTATACACACACACGCTCACACACAGACACGCACAAATATCTCTCTTTACAATTAAACAGATTTGGTTTCTTACCAGCCAGCTCATTAGCTGACTTCCTCAAGGGGAGGATGGCATTGATTTTTTTTTTGTTTTCTTTGTATTCTGACAGTGGCAGTGTGGTACCGTGGATAGTGCTGGAATCAGAGTCAGAGGACCTGGGTTTGCACCCTGGCCTGCCTCTCTCTCTCTCTCTCTCTCTCTCTCTCTCTCTCTCTCTCTCTCTCTCTCTCTCTCTCTCTCTCTCTCTCTGTCATATTACCTTAGTGACATTGGGCAGGTTTCTTCAAATCTCTGGGCCTCATTTTCCTCATCTGTAAAATAAAGGTGTTAGACTGGATGACCTCTGAGGCCTTTTCCTGCTATCCATCTAAGATCCTATGACTTCTGTTGGTTCAATATCTACTCTTCATGAATCACATAAGGAGATAATAAGGACTTAGATCACCCCAGAGGCTATTCTGAAAATATTATCTCATGTTCATTTCCTAGAACATTATTGCTAAATGCTGATGATATCTGTTCCTTTACAGAGACCACAGTTTGCTCCCAAATGTTCTTCATTTTATTTTCAATGACACTGACTCCAGCTGTGTCTAAATTCTGTATACTCTTATTGTAACTTTTTTAAGTGAACTTGTTTGTTATGACTTGCAGACCTGGTCCTTAGCTATGTTTTCAGTAATTTGATAATGTAATCAGTTCTCCTTATCTATCTACAGGTTATCTGTTTTACAGAGTATCTTTGACAATTCTTAAATCCTAGACTGGACTCCTCCCATCACCTGCCTTGTTTCTATCCACTTTTCTTATCAGCCAGGCAGCACGTGCTCAGGGATAGTGCTAGAGTTAGGGATAAGAATTGGACCTCAACTTTCATGGAAATAGGAAACTTCCTCTTATCAATGCAGGTTGCCTGATTGGGGATAATTTTAGAGAATTGTTGCCTCAGAGCACTGCGAGGTTGTGACTTGCTCAGGGTCACATAACTAGTATATGGCATAGATGGTCCTTAACCCCAAGTCTTCTGAGTCTGGGGCCAGTTCTCTGAGAAATGCTCAGGAAAGGATAACTAATTATAATGTTGGATATGCAAAGTATAGTTAGGAAACCATAACCACTTTATAAAGCTATTTAAAAATCTCTAAAGCCAAACATGATTCACTTTTGTATTACTTACTATTTTAAATGATTCATGTAGTGACTTCTGGAATGTACTCCCTCCTTATCTCTGACGCTTAGCCCCAGTCTCCTTTAAGACCCAGCCTTCTATATGAAACCTTTTCTGATCTCTCAGCTCCTAGGGCCCTTCCTCCCCAAATCGCCTTGTATAACTTTTGTATATATATATATTTTTAATATACCTATATATGTCCATAAATGTAAACTCCTTGAGGACAGGGATTGTTCCACTTTTGTCTTTATATTTCACAGCAGGGCACATGATAGGTACTTAATACATGTTTGTGGATTGACTGATTGATTGATAGAGAAGCTTGACTATTCATGAAATTCCTTAATTTGTGCTAGAAAGTTTGATTTATGAATGAGAGACTGAAAAACCATAGGTTGCAATTGGAGTAAGTTTTTTTTTTTTAGTAAGAAAGGGCCCAGCCTAGGAGTCAAGTGATCTGGGTTTAAGTCCTAGACCAACTTGGACAGATCTCATATCTTTGGGCTTCAGTTTACTCATCTGTAAAATGAAAGGTTGAACTTAATAGATTCCCAAGGACCCTATTAGCAGGAATGGCATGGTTGTTGTTGTTGTTGGTTTTTTGGGTTTTTTTTGAGGCAACTGGGTTAAGTCCCTTGCCCAGGGTCACACAGCTAGTAAGTGTATGAAGTCATATTTGAACTCAGGTCCTCCTGACTCCAGGGCAAGCGCTCTATCCACTGTACCACCTAGCTGTCCCCTGGTATATTTTTATAAGGGACCATTTCCAGTTCCAGTTCTGTTTTGTTCCTGCTCTTTCTAACATACAAAGACTGTATTGGGCGGAGGCTTACGTGTGGAAAAGGGCTTTTTTTTTGATTCTTTAACCATTTTAAAGCAACAGCAAAGTGTCAAAGGTCAATATTTTACCCAGCCAAGGGAGATAGATTGTCCCAGACAAGACTGGCATTTCTGGAAAGCTGCAAAGGGCCCTGTAAATGTGCACAATTGAACCGCTCTCAGCCTCTCACTCTCTGTGTCAACTTGGTCAAGTAACTTAAGTCTCCTGGATCTCAGATTCCTCATCTGTAAATTGAGGAAGTTGGATGAGATCAGTGTCAAACTCAAATAGAAACAGGAACTACTAGTCTATACATAAAGTTCCCTGCAGACCAGGTGTTGACTTACTTTTACATTTCTAACATTCTCTACTTAATTTTATTTTTATTTGTTTTGTTAAATATTTCCCAATTACGTTTTAATCTGGTTGGACTGCCCTTGAGAATGTTGGCCAGTGTGCCGCTTGAAGTTACAGCTCTAAATCTATAACAATGATAGAGACCTTAACCCAGTAACTTCTTTCAACCAAAGTGTTATTTGTGTTTTGCTGTGTGACCTCCAAAGAAAAAGGCATTTCTTACCATATTCTAGATTTTAAGGAAATCTTTAGCAAATCTCTTTGTTACACAACTGTTTATCCAGATTCTAGATTTGCTCTCCCAACCTCAGAGAATCCTCCATTCTCCTCTCTCTGTTCCCCCACCCCAATCAGCTGCCAAATCTTATCAAATACTATATCCATACTATCTTTTTTAATTCATCCTCTTCTCTTTACTCACAAGGCCAGCACCCTTATGAGTCAAGTATAGGCAAACTCTCATCACCTTTCCTGGACTACTGAAATGAACTCCTAATTGGTCTCCATAGTTTTTCTTCCACCAATCCATTCTTCACCCCACTGCCAAATTGATATTCCTAAAGCCCAAGTCTCACTGTATTATTCCCCTCCTGAAGAAGCTTCAACGGCTCCCTCTTGCCTCTAGTATAAACTATAAATTCCTCTATTTGGTATTTAAAGCTTTTCATGATCTTGCCTCAACCTATCTTTCCTGACTGGCTTCACATTCTATATTTTGCACACATCCTATATTCCAATTAAACTGACTCGTGTGCTATCTTATACCTACCTTTTGTGTGGCATGGATGATTCACAGAAGAGGAAAGGAAGGAAACAGAGTCAATCGAGATTCAAGGCCGGGGAGTGTTTCTACTGGCTCAGGAGTCTGAGAACCTGCATCTGACTCACAGGTCCGGTACTTACTAGCTGTGTGACCTTGGCTGAATCATTTCAGTCTTGCAAGATATTTTGTTTCCTGTCTCCTGGTCCTTGTATATGCTGCCACCTATGCAAGTGATGCTTTTCCTCTTCATCTCTGCACTTTTGAGATGCCTACTTCCCTTCACTCTAATTGTGCCACCTCCTCCTATGTGAGGACTTTATTTCTCTTCTCATTTGTCAGCTTCCCCCTCTCATCCTCTACATAAACTACCTTGTTTTACTTTGTATATATTTTGTATTTTATTTTTTGTGTTCATGGTATGTCCCCTTGTTTTACTTTGTATATATTTTGTAATTTTGTGTGTGTGTGTGTGTTCATGGTATTTCCCCTTGTTTTATTCTATATATATTTTGTAATTCTTTTTGTGTGTTCATGGTAATTTCCTCATATTTTACTTTGTATATATTTTGTATTTTTTTTGGTGTGTGTATTCATGGTATTTTCCCTTATTTTGTATATATTTTGTAATTCTTTTTTGTGTATTTGTGGTATTTCCTCTTCTTTTTACTTTGTATATATTTTATATTTGTGTGTGTGTGTGTGTGTGTCTGTGTGTCTGTTCATCATATTTTCCCTCAGTATAAGGTAAGTTCCTTGAGGGTAGGAACTGTTTTTGTCTTTGTCTTTGTAATCCGGTGCTTAACAATGCTTGAAACATTAATAAGTATTCAAATACTTATTGAATTAAATTAATTTTTTCCCCTCCAGTGGGGAACTTTCTACATGATTTTGAAGTCATGACATTCCCAAATTGTTTTTTCTTTCTGGTCAATCAGATCTGTTTATTGTATTATAACAGTGCCTTGTACATCAGCGCTCAACATGTTTGTGTAATAGAATGTAACAGTAAATATATTTGTTACACAAGAACACAACAACCTTTTACAGCTCATAGAGGACATAACTGAGACTCCTCAGTGTTTCTGAAGGCCATTTGATGGCTTAAACGTTTTCTGTCATGTGTCTGGGAGAGGGAAGAGAGCACAAATCCTCTTACCTGCTATAGGCTCTGACTAGACTCAAAACCTTCATACTCCTGTTTGGCATGATGAGCTGGGTTTGGGGAAGGATATGCCTCTGGTTAGTCTGTGATCCTATCTACTCTCCCCTCTCCCTCCAAATCCCCTGGCCTATGATACTTTTATTCTTATTCCCTTAGAGTATTTCCTATACCTTTGCCCCTCTAATCCTTTTTTCAAGGCCTAGAAGAAAGTCACCCTTATCTTTCTCTCCCATCCCCATGATTCTTTGGGATGACTGAGGTGGTGATCAGCTGTCTTCAGGGGCCCGTTCTAGCAGCCACTACAAATTTTTATTTTATTTTATTTTATTTTTAGGCAATTGGGATTAAGTGACTTGCCCAGGTTCACACAGCCAGTAAGTATCAAGTGTTTGATCTGAGGTTCAGATTTGAACTCAGGTCCTCTTGACTTCAGGGCCAGTGCTCTATCCACTGCGCCACCTAGCTGCCCTAGCTAGTACAAATTATTGAGTAATAGCTGAGAGCACCCTCTGTGAGCTGGGTAGGAAGGAGAATGGGCTCTAAAGAAGAGGACATTTGATTCAGGACATATGACAGAAGAGCCAGAGCATTGTGTTTAGAGTATGAGAAATGACTATTTCTCTCATATTTAATACCTAATTATTGTATTAGGACCTCTTTTCTACTTCTTCATACAGAAACCAACCAGCGTGGGAAATTTTCTCTTAGATATTTACCCAGGCCAAGATCTAATCAGCCAGTGAAAGAAATTCTAAGTTTAGGCTAATGGGTGTATTCCTGCTCATTATGTTTGCTCAGACAGGTCCTGGCGGGGAGGAGGGGAAAATGTCGATTCTCCCTATTATCAAGATAGGTGATATGAGAATTGATGTCTCTTTGACTAAGACTTGAGTGACCTAAGTCACATATCTAAGATAGCCTACTTCCCATTTGATTAACCAATCAGAGGTGATTAACCATCTTCCAGGAACATTTCCTCTTGGAAGGGCATAAAAACTGTGATCTCACTGCTATTAGGGGTCTTTGGTTTGAGAGAAATGGTCAAATGACCATCCTTTTATTAATAACCTGCTGGACTTATTGATAAAATTATTAAATTACCCAGAAATGATGTCTCTTGAAACTTTTTAATTATTAATTAATTAGTTAATTCTTAAATAATTAATTAATTAATCATAAGAGCTAAAAGGAAGCTTGAAGACAATTTCCTAGAAAACCCTGATTTGAGGAAACCAAGGCCTAAAGAAATCAATTGACTAGCCCATAGTGAAACAACTAGTAAGGATCACATCTGTGATGCAAACTCATGTTCTCAGATTGCAGATCAATTGGAAACATGATGCTGCCTGCCTTTTAGCTAACCGTGCTGGTCCTGTCTCTATCTTTCCTTTCCTCTTCTGTCCTTCAGCTGTGCCCCTCAGAAGGGCCATATGGTAAAGACATTGAACACTTTTGATACCAAAAAGAGAAATTTTGGAGACAGGAAGCAGGAAGCAAGACCTTTCTCTGCCTATAGTGTTCTATGATGACCTTTCTATCTCTCTTTAAGTGCCCATGAGGCCCTCAACATAAGTATATCTGGAAGTTATATATCTTTGCCCTTATCAGCTTTTTATTAGTTAATTATAATGTTACCCTTTAAAGACTTAGGTTTACTTTAAGATCTAACTTTAACTTCCGCTTTAGACATTTTGGTTTTGTTTTCTTTTTATTTATTTATTGAACACCTTGTTTTAATTGTTTTTA